TTGAAGCTTCAATACGGCCGTATTAAGTTTAGTACGGCCGTATTGGGCTTCATTCCCTCCACTTCCTTATTTTAAGCTACTCTAAGACCTCTAAACCTACAGATAGCCATCCTATGGTCTTCTAGGAGTCCTTCTGGCTGACTTTCCTTCGATCTTTGAGGGTCTTCGAGTTTTATTTCCGACCCGGACAATTTTAGGGGTCTACAGATCCAAAATCAACGTCATCCACATAGATTTGAACATACATTGTGTCATTCTTAAATTTCTTCACAAACAATGTATTATCTACTTTACCTGCAACATAGTCATTCTCAATCAAAAGTTTGCTCAGCCTATCATACCATGATCTTGGAGCTTGTTTCAAGCCATAGAGTGCATTTTTAAGTTTATACACATGATTTGGATATCTAAAATCAACAAAACTAGGTGGTTGCTCCACATAAACTTCTTCTTGTATGACACCATTTAGAAAAGCACTCTTTACATAAACTAACTGATTTTCAGTTGATAAATCCTTAGAAGTTTTCCTTTCCTTAGGAAATTGTTCACTTGTCTTTTCAATGGTTTCAATTGATTCACTCTCTTTAGGCATTTTACTTTGTTCATTTTCTAAGGGAGGTTGATCAAGCAAATCAGTTAAGTCCTCTATTTCAGTTTGCTTTGTTTCTTGCTTGTTGGTCTCATCAAACACAACATGTACTGATTCTTCAACTACTAGAGTTCTCTTGTTATATACTCTATAGGCTTTGCTATTTTTAGAATAACCCAAGAAAATTGCTTCATCAGTTTTAGCATCAAATTTACCAAGTTGTTCCTTACCATTATTCAGCACAAAACATTTACACCCAAATACTCTAAAGTATGAGATATTAGGCTTCGTTCCATTATAAATCTCATAAGGTGTTCTTTTTAGAATAGGCCTAATTAGAACCTTATTTAACACATGACATGTTGTGTTAATTGCATCAACCCAAAAGTATTTAGGTAGTTTAGTCTCATTCAACATAGTTCTAGCTAATTCCTAAAGAGACCTATTTTTCCTTTCCACAACTCCATTTTGTTGAGGTATCTTAGGTGCTAAAATATTATGATTAATGTCATGTTCCTCACAGAATTTTTGGAACAAAACATTTTGGAATTCACCTCCATGATCACTTCTAATTGAGGTGATATTTATGTTTTTCTCATTTTGAACAAGCTTAGCAAATTTCTTAAAAGCGTTGAAAGCTTCACTCTTATTTGCAAGAAACATAACCCAAGTGAATCTTGAATAATCATCTACCATAACCAGCCCATAGTAATTCCCTCCTAGACTCATGGTTCTTGAAGGACCAAAAAAATCCATGTGAATTAATTGTAAAGGTCTAGAAGTTGAAATCATATTTTTGCTTTTAAAGCTAGCCTTCACTTGCTTGCCTTTTTGACAAGCATCACATAGTTTGTCCTTGCTGAACTTGAGTTTAGGTAATCCAATTACTAACTCCTTTCTACTTAACTTGTTTAAATGATCCATGTGTATATGTGCAGCTCTTCTATGCCAAAGCCAAATATTATCTTCTTTAGTTATCAAACACTTGGTGTTAGAAATTGTGATTGAATGTTCTAAGTCTAGCATATAAATGTTGTCAATTCTTTTTCCAATGAATCTAATTTCTTTTGTCAATTTATCACAGATTAAACAACAAGTATTATCAAATTTAATTTTAAATCCTTTGTCACTAAGTTGGCTTATACTAAGCAAGTTATGTTTCAGCCCTTCAACAAGCAATACATTTTCAATCAATGTTGAGGAGGAAGAGTTACCAATGTTTCCATGACCAAGAATCTTCCCTTTGTTGTTGTCACCATATGTAACAAATCCTTCATTCTTTAATTTCAGACTTGAGAATTTTGAAGGATCTCCAGTCATATGCCTTGAGCAACTACTATCAAGATACCATAATAAGATTTTGGCTCTCAAGCATTCCTACAACAAATTTAGAAAATTGATTTAGGTACTCATATGAAGGGTCCTTGATGGTTAGTTCTCAGCCTTTGGCTCTTTTTAATCCAAATCATTTCTCCATTTGGAACATCATATTTCTTAGAATAGCAATTTCTTATTGTATGTCCTTTCTTACAATAATAAAAGCAAGTAGTTTGTTATGAAATTGCCTTTAAATTTTCTAAAAGATTGGTTCCTTTTAAAAACTCTTTCCTTTGATTTTGATGGCATGTTCATGCTTTGATTAAAACCAAGTCCACTTCTATCAAAAGCATGTCTTTGCTTTCCCAATCAACTTTTGAAGAAGGGGAGGTTTTACAATGAGCTTCATTGAAATTCAAAATTATTTGCAGGTTTTCATGTTCATTCTTCAAATCTTCAAGCTCTTGTTCAGCTATAATTAAAGCATTTTCATACCATGACAATTTTCTTTTAAGCTTAGAATTTAAAGCTTCGAATTTCACAACCTCTTTGTGAATTTGGATGAAAGCTTCTTGAAGTTGATCATAATAAGGATTAGATTCAAGATCAGAATCACTTACTATTGTATCTTGATCAGCTCCAGCCATCAAACATAAGTTGTTTTCCTCAAGTTCAGATTCATCACTTATTGTGCTTGAGTCATTGTCTTCCCAAGCTATGTAGGCTCTTTTTCCTTTGTAGTTTTTCTTCCCTTTCTTTTCCTTTTGTTGCTTCTTTAGAAGGTTAGGGCATTCAACTTTTATGTGGCCTTGTTTTCCACATTCAAAACAATTGTAAGAGGATGTGCTTTTTTCATCTTTCTTATTGGCCTTCTTGTTGAATTTGTAGGGGGAACTCCTTTTCTAAACTTCTTCACCAGCAAGTTTAAGTTCTCTGAATCAGAATCTTCGGAGCTTCAGTCTTCCCATTTTATCCTGTTGTTCATTTTCTTCAAAAATGTGCAGCTTTTGTTCATGCTCTCTTAGCTTTCCAAAGAGAGTTGCAAGGGTCAATGAAGTTAAGTCCTTTGATTCTTCTATTGCAGTAACCTTTGTTTTCCAAGATCTATCCAAGCATTGTAGAACTTTCAAATTTAGTTCTTCTTCTTCAAATTTCCTGCCAAGATTAATAAGGTGATTTATCAAGTGTGTAAACCGTTTTTGAAAATCAGAAATAGATTCACCATGATTC